TGAATTTATAGTGGAATTTCATGGGTAATAAATTACATGTTTATTTATGAAAACAAGTTAATGAAACTCAAAAACGTTGAAAGAAAAGAAGAAGGTTAGAGGGGAGATGGTGTTGGGTGGGCGAGGGCGCGGGGGGGAAGCGTGCGTAAAGAGGGCCGACATAGAAGACGAGCAGTAGCAGCAGAGTGGCAGAGTAAAACAGAGTAAAACAGAGTGAAACAGAGTAGTAGGAGTCAAATATGTAATGAAAGGCAGAGGGGGGCGCTGCAGCTGCCTGCCTGCCTGCTCTGCCGCCGCCTGCGCCCTCTGCATCTTTTGTTTCTTCTACCTTCCTTCTTTTTCTTACCTTTCTCAATCCTACCTCTGCTCTACTCTACTCTACTTTTTTTCCTTTTTTCGTTTTTCTAATAATTTTAAAAAAAACAATATATATATATTGAAGGAGAAGGCGAAGGAGAAGGAGGAGAGGAGACAACTGCATCGAAAATGGGAGGATTTGTCGGGGATTCTGCGTGTTCCAGACCTCACTTTCTTCCGTCCATTCACTCCTTTCCCTCTTTTCCCCCCACATTTTCCCTTTTTACCCTTTTCTTTTCTTTATTTATTTAGTTTGTAGGTCCCTATTATCTACCAATCTAAACTTTAATTATTTAATATATATTCTTTTCATATTTACCCATTAAATACCAAACCAAATCTAATGGTTAGATAGTACCACTAAACCCTAAACCCTAAATCCTAGCATGTGGACACTTGAAAATAAAGAAGAGGTAAAGGGTGAGTATAATAATACTTAGTAAACAACTTACTTGTACGCTCTTATTGCATCCTTAATCTAGTACATTACAACGGGCTTTTCTTTGGGCTCTAGGAAGTTTGAGCCTAGTTCAAAGGATCCTTGACTATTTCACTTACTAGTGTGGCACCTGATGTGAGCTAAATATTTATATAGTCCCTCATCTCTTCTCAAGGCTTAGTTTACATGCTCTCGACCCAGTTCTACACACAATTTTAGCTCCTCACGTTAATTACTTATGTAGTCTCTCGCCCCCTCACAAGGTTGGATTACAGTTTTTGACTCGCTTCTACACACAGTAGTGACTCATCAATTAATTACTTTTGTAGTCCTTCATCCTTTCTCGATGCTGGTTTACGAGCTTTTGACTTGCTTCTACACATAGTAGTAACTCCTCTTATCATCTACTTATGTAGTCCCTCGTCCCCTTTCAAGACTGGCTTATGAGCTTATGAACACTTCTACATAGTAGTGACACCTTAAACTCATTCCATTCATGTTGCTAGTGGTCTCGTAAGTTTTTGTAAAATTTATGTAGTGCAATGAAGCTTTGCTAGGTACTCGGGGGTGTTTAGGCGGTTTAAATCTCATCTCACATTTGCAAGTCGCTTGAGGTTAGCCCTTTAAAACTAATTCAATTCTCTGGGTGCAGCTAGGTGTAGACCTTTATTCACCGCTCACGATCCTAGGATGTTTAGTCTACTAGAAAATACTAACATGGGTTAATGTGAATAGCGCTCTAGCTTTAGCATTCTAATCTAGCTTGGTTCATTCATACATTCTTTATTAAGGAGCTATTTCTTAGATCACATAAAGCACAAAAAAAAAAAAAAAAAAAAAAAAAATAATCTTTAATCTAATCGGTTCATATTCGCCCAACTATGTTGCATAGTTTCTTAAGGTTGTTCCAATGGTCATATGATTCGCTTCTACCGTTGTCGTTCTCAATCGTGGTAAATACGAGCTACTTTTGTAACGTCCGGTACCCATAATTCATATTAGGGCTTAGCACCTGATACCCAGGTATTTACGGACATTACCAACGATATAGTTATATTACTTGTTCTTTCAACATGTTTTGTTCTCACTCACATGGTTTTTAAGAAAATTTTCAAGATTTTCAAGAGAANAGCACAGATCACAAGCACAAATCAAATTGTGCAAACCGGCTCGCAGTCAAAGGCATATGCATCCACAAGTAGGGACGCTGGAACATTTGATATCGAGTGAGAGTGATGCAGTCTATACTGGGACATTATGCATTAACGTAATTTGATTCTAGTTCTACGCATTCCTTTATATCCATGTCTTTTTTAGTCCAGTAGGGTCCTAGTAGAACCCTTATTGCATATGTTATTTGTTAGTACCCAACGGGGGTAAACCTAGTTACTGAGAATAGGGTAAAAGACAGACAAGTAATGGAGCAGAACGAACCATAAGTGTAGACCTGAAAGTAGTAAATATGACGGATTTTGACATCATATTAAGAATGGATTGCCATAAGAAAGAAGTGGCATTTACGCCACCAAACAGACCAAACTTTAAATTTAAAGGAACCTGCACGGGAGTCACCCAAATGATAGTGTCAATGATGAAAGTCAAACGCTTGGTACAATAGGGAGGGTGGACTATAGTAGCTTGTGCAGAAGACGTAAAAGGAAAAGAGAAAACAATGGATACGGTACCCATAGTAAACGAATTCTCGGTTGTCTTCCCAGAGGATCTACCAGGAGTTCCTCATTCACGAGCGGTAGACTTTGGAATAGAACTCAAAACAGGAATTGGACCCATCTCTAAAGCACCGTATCGTATGACTCCAACAGAATTAAAAGAACTGAAATTACAACTACAAGACGTACTAGACAAGGGTTTCATTCGACCTAGCGTATCCCTTGGGGTGCGCCAATGTTGTTTGTGAAAAAGAAAGACGACTCGATGCCCCTATGTATTGACTATAAGGAGAAAAACAAGAAAACAATAAAGAACAAATACCCACTCACAAGCATCAAGAACTTATTCGACCAACTCCAAGAGACGATAGTATTGTTCAAGATAGGTCTTCGATCATGCTATCACCAAATTAAGATTAATGATGGAGACGTACCGAAAATAGTATTTCAAATAGATATGACCATTGCGAGTTTGTAGTGATGTCATTTGGTCTCACTAATGCCCCACTATATTCATGAAATTAATGAATCGAGTATTCAATGAGTGCCTAGACATGTTTGTCATCGTGTTCATAGACCTAATATACTAAAAAATGGATCAAGAACACCTGGAACATCTCTGAAAAGCCTTAACTATCTTAAGGGAGAACAAGTTGTACGCGAAATTCTCCAAATGTGAATTTTGGCTACGATAAGTCTCATTCGTACGACATGTAGTGTCTAAGGACAAGGTTTCAGTGGACCCCACTAAGATGGAAGCCGTCACTAAATGGAAAAGCCCAACTACGGTTATAGAGGTACGAAGTTTTCCGGGGTTAGCAAACTAGTATCGAAGATATTTCCAAGACTTTGCTAGAATAGCCTAGCCTCTTACATAGTTGACAAGAAAGGGCATAACTTTTTGATGGAATGATGCATGTGAGGCCAACTTTCAAGACCTAAAACAAAGACTAATGTCAGCTCCAGTCCTCACGGTCCCAGAAAGCTCAACAGAATATGTAATATACAATGATGTATTCAAAAAGGGGACTAAGTTGAGTATTGATGCAACACGGTAAGGTTGTTGTGTACGCATCACGCCAATTAAAAGAATACGAGAAAAACTATCCTGCACGACCTAGAATTGACCACAATGGTGTTCGCATTAAAGATTTGGCAATACTACCTGTATGGCGAAAAAACTCAAATCTACACTGACCACAAAAGCCTAAAATACTTTTTCACCCAACAAGAATTGAACATGAGACAACGAAGGTAGTTGGAATTGGTGAAGGACTACGATATAGATATCCTGTACCACCCTAGTACAAGTGGATTTCGAATGAGCTGACATAGATGTAGTAACTAAGACGGTTGTAGCACAAATGGCTCAACTCATAGTTCAACCCACGCTCAGGCAAAGGATAATAGATTCACAACAAGAGGATCCCAGCCTAAATAAGATACTTAGTTAGCTAACAACGAGCCCAGTAGATAGCTTTTTTAAATCATAAGATGGTGGACTACTATGTCAAGGACGACTATGTGTTCCAGTTATGGGAGAATTAAGGAACGAAATACTAACTAAAGCACACAACTCACCTTTCTCAATACATCCAGGTGGTACCCAGATGTACTAAGACTTGAAACAACACTTCTGATGGCGAAGTATGAAAAAGGATATGGCGGAATTCGTGAGTAAATGTCTAGTGTGCCTCCAAGTAAAAGCTCCTAGCCAGAAAATGACGGAACTATTACAACCTCTAAGCATACCGGAACGGAAGTGGGAGAATATCGCTATGGATTTCATAGTGGGTATACCTAGAACACTGAAGAGATATACAGTAATCTAGGTAATTGTCGGCTGGCTGACAAAGTTAGCATACTTCCTACTGGGCAAGGCAACATGTACATTAAACAATTGGGCTCAATTGTACGTGAAAGAAATTGTGAGGTTGCATGGAGTTTCAATGTCGATAGTGTAGGACCGAGATCTATGCTTTACGTCAGCATTTTAGCGTGGACTCTAGAAAGCGTTGGGTACCTGCCTCAACTTCAGTACTGCCCTCCATTCTTAAACGAATGGTCAGACGGAGTGGTTGAACCAAATTCTAGAAGACATGCTGTGAGCATCCGTTATGGATTTCATTGGAAGTTGGGACACCAAATTACATTAGATGGAATTCTCGTACAACAACAACTTCCAAGTAACTATTAAGATGGCACCGTTCGAATCATTGTATAGAAAACGGTGTAGGTCCCCGTTGTGATGAGATGAAGTAGGTGAACGAGAACTAGTGGGAACCAAGCTAGTCAGCATTACAAACGAGGCTATACAAAAAATTAGTGAAATTATTTCTTTAATTGCTAATTTTCCCTTTAATTATATTTTATTATTTTTAATATAAAGTTCACTTATGGGCAAATTAGTGAAATTATGATGAGTTTTGAGCATATATGCAACTCACATGACATTTATGAACAGTTGATGAAATTATGGGTATAAAAAGGCCTATTCCAGCCCATCGACCCAACTCACACGGCCCGGCCCAATCCACTTTATAAGAAACGTATACCCTAGCTTGCAATTCTTCTCTCGTTGCCGCATTGCCGCACAAGCTTCTTCCTCGATCGTCTTCCATCTCTTGCTCTCAGGTGTTTCTCTCTAAACTGTTGTATCTTTACATTTATCTTCCAGATAGTTGATTAAGTGCGCAGCTGTTTCCCAGTTTTGTTTCCGTTAATCGTTGATTTCTTTTGTTTCTGTAGTTGAATTTATACGAGGCTGATAATTTTCGATTAGTAATTAAACAGGAAACTTAAGAACTGTTGCTATAGGTCTTCGTATTAAGGAGATGGTTACTGAGTTAACAGAGATTTCGCTTTCTTTGAGTTGAAGAACTAGCCTTCCTCGGATGTTTTAAATTGTTAAGTTATTGGAATTATAATTATCGCCATGTGTTTTCTGGTAGATGATGATGTATTGTTTTAGCATGACGTCTAAAAGCACTTCTTCGTGTTTAAAATCACCTTTGATTGTTCTTAGTTATTCAGAATTAAATTTTACAGTATGATAATTACATTTCAAAATCACTGACGAACATGTCAGCCTTTATTGTGTGTGGAAGTGATTTGTAATGCTTTACGGAAATGTCTGATTTCTTTGTGAGGAATAAGTTGCTGCAAATAACTTTTGGCTGCTAGATTTGTCAAAAAAACACGCAATCACAATGCGTTCACCTAGTAGCCATGAGGCCATTGAAAAAATAGATGTATTGGGTTTAAATTATGTTGGCCATCTATGTAGTATGACTTTCCTTAGGAATAATTAGCAATCGAATGAAGTAGGGTTAGCAATTGATAATCTGATAAAAAGTACTTTTGCTAATATCATTTGATTTAAATGTACTTCAAAACCCAAATCCTTAGAGAAGTGCCATTATACGGAAAAAGGTTCACTCTGATTGTTGCTATAAGATTTGTTTGTTTGGTTTTTTAATAGGTGTGTTTGGGTAGGAATGGAGTCACAGATCAAGCATGCTGTGGTAGTCAAAGTAATGGGTAGAACTGGATCCAGAGGGCAGGTGACTCAAGTGAGAGTCAAATTTCTTGATGATCAGAATCGTTACATTATGAGGAATGTGAAGGGACCTGTCAGGGAAGGCGATATTCTTACCCTACTCGAGTCTGAGAGGGAAGCAAGGCGGTTGCGTTGATGGAGAATTGCAGTTGCTTCCATTGTTTTTGACTCTTTGTAAGTGTGGATCCTTTTGTTCTGGGGATGAATGTGTGAACGGGTTTGGTAATTTAATTGAGTTTTGATGATATCAGCTGTGTGATCCACACTTGTAGGCTTATCATTGATGATTTTGTGTTCTTTTCATATATTGGTTATGCATCACCTAATACTCTATTTGGCAGCACACTTTGCACTGTGCACTTGCATTTATAAATATTATAATCTTTATGCCTCCCTTTTGGTAAATTGGGTTTCCAACGAGCCTAGTTACTATCATCCCCTTTCTTGCCGAAGTGTAGGACCAATTTGAAAAACATAGAATTAAATTGCAACTTACATAATTGAAAAGATAATTTTTTTTTTGTTTTTTTACAATATTCGACTCCTTTACTTTCCAAACTGGGACCAATTGGAGATGTTACTCAAAATATTGGCTTCCCCGTTTTAAAAGTTGTAAAATTGAGGGACATTAAGTAGTAGAATAATTCTCACGCACAACTTGTTGTATAATTTTCATGTCAACTCAAATGGAGCACTGGTCATTGGAACATGCGTATTTCAGTGATGATTAAAAGGTTCAATATGAATGGCAAGTTGAGCTCGAGATTTATCTGCCCATTCGAGATTTTAAAGTGAATTAGGCCTATGGCCTAAATATTGGTGTTGCCACTTGCCCTTATTGTCATGTATAACATATTTCATGTTTCAATGATGCACAAGTACAATCTAAATCCCTTGCATGTCATAGGGCCATGAGACACTTTCCTTAAAAGAGAACTTAATATAGGAGGATAAACTACTAAGAATTCTCATATGGGAGAGTAAGAAGCTATGCAATAAGGGCACTCCTCTAACTAAGGTCCTCTGGAAGAATCATCGGGCTAATGAGTTGACTTACGAGAGAGAAGATGAGATGCAAGCATCCTGCTCCGAGCTATTTCATAATTGGTCAACTTTCTAGGATAAAAGGAGGTTTTTAAAAATTTTGCAAGAAAATTAGTAATTTTAAAGGGTTTGAGGAAGAATTTGAAAGAGTATTGAAGGAAAAAATTAGGAAATGAAACAGAAGAATTTAACATAAATAAATAAATAAAATATTGTATTTTTCACCTACTCCACATCAACTCACATTGTGATCCGTAATTCGAAACCTTAAAGAGCGGGTCATGACAGTTACCCCAGCTCTCTCTGGTTGTGTATGATGTGTTGCATATGTCAATGTTGCACAAGTTCATAGCAAATCCTATGCAAATAATTGACTATGAACCCCTTATAGTTGGATGAGAGATTAAACCGTGTGGAGAAATCGGTGCAAATTCTAGTAACGGAAGTGAAGGCGTTGCATAATCGAAACATCACCCTAGTTAAGGTTTTTTTGGCAAAAGACGAGATAGTGATTAAGTACCACAAGCTCTTCTAGGAGAATGCAAAGATAAGCCAAAATGTCAGTTAACGAAGACTTTGGAAGATAAAAGTCCTTTTAAGTGGAGTATATCGTAATAACCTATATTTTAAAAAAGAAATACTTTCGGTCGCTGAAAATTTTCACAACCAAGCCGTTAAAAAATCAAAAAAATTGAGATGATTATTTATTTGTGTGTAGGAGAATCAAAGTAATTACCTATTTGTGTGCATAAGAATTACATTAGAACGCGAACCAGAGACAATTGCTGTATTTATGTATACAAAAATGGTAATAATTACGGATCGATATACAAAAAAAAATTACTTTCCTTCGTTTAAAAATATCTCGAGCAGAACAAAAATTCTTGCCAAAATGGAATGGGGAACGGACAAACAGTCGCTTACAAAATTATTCAAATGCAGTGAATGAATCGGTTTCATTTGCTATTGAATCTCCTCGTTAAGGTATGAATGTCGATTTCTCCTTTGAATCTTTCCATTTTGCATTGTTTTTTTTTTCTTTTTTCTTTTTTCTTTTTTCTGGGTTAGGGTTTGTGTTGGAATGCGTCTATGTTTGAAGCCCTAGGGTTTGATGTTTTCTTTATTTGTCTCTGTCCATCTGCTGAGAGAGCTTTCAATAGAAGTAGTCGACTTAGGTTTTGCTTCTCAAGCGTTAGATATGTACTGTTTTGATAGCTGAAATATGATGTTGTTGTCTTCTTGTTTTGATAGCTTGTTAAATTTGGTAGGAATGTTGTATTGATTCGGAAACACTGGCTGCTAAGGTTTGTACTATAATGAAATTGCATTTTGTGGAACTTGCTTTACTTTCTTGCAAACCTCTGTTCTCTTTCCCTTGACAATGAGTGTTTGGTTTGATTGGATGATGGACAATTTTTGTTGTTTTTGCGATTTTGAGTCAAGTTTGCAGGTTTTGATAGTTTCTTTTTGAAGTAGACTTGTTCATTGACTCCCCCTGTGTGTTGCAGGTCACTCTGTTTGCTAGTTTAATTTCATTTGAAGACAGGTTCATTGAGTGGATTTAACTTATAGCATCCTACGATGGAAAACACTGGTGTAAAGTCAGAATTTCGCAAGCCATCTTCTGAATCAGCTGGCAGAAAGTATAGGCGTCGATCTCCTGTTAGTGGGTCATCATCATTGGATGGTTAGATGGATTTAGATTTTGGATTTTCATTTTTTTGTGAAGTGTTTTTTTTTGGAGATAACTGTCATGTGAATCTCAGTTCATTCTCATGTTAATCGTTATTTTGCAGAAAGTCCTAAGCGAGACCGTAGTTTGAGTCCGAAGCTCTTGAGAGATGATGCCTCAAAAGACTCTGAACGGCAACGAAGAAGAAAAGATGATGAAAGAGGTTTGAATAAGGATTATAGAAGTCATTATAGTGGAAGTTCTGATTCATATAAATATTCTGATCATAAATCCTCTAGAAGTTTGCATGGTTACTCTGGGCATGATGATTATGCCAAACATGACAAATATGCAGATGAAGAAAGAGATAGTGAGCGGTTATCCTCTCGTTCTCGTAGGGATTCAAAGGGTGGTGTTCATTATGATCATACAAGACGAGATAGAAGTAGAGATGGGGATTCATTATCCGAGAGACATGGTTCAGGTAGTAGAAGGCACTCAAATTCTCATGAAATGGGGAAAAATAGGAATATAAGAGACCGAGATGGTCGAGATGAGAAGAGAGACAATGTGAAACATTCTGGAGATTACAAACATGAACAGGGGCTCTCCCATGATGATGCTAGGGGCAATCGATATGACTCATTTTCGGGAAGGGTTGAAAGTAGGCACCATATGAAAGAAATTTTTAAGAGTGACCGGAAGGAACTTGATGGTGAAAAGTTTGCTAAAGAGGAAAGGAAATATGAGGACCGAGAAACTAACTGGGACAAGGGGCAAGGTAAAGAATCAAAGGGAAAGTATGATGGTAAAGGTGTTTTTGTTGGAAATCAAGCAACGCCTGCTAAAAAACCTAAATTGCTTAGCTTGGGAGAAGAAGTTAATCATGAACTGGATGGTTCGTGCTTTTGTATCCTATTTCAAGTTGTTTTCATGTAGCTTCAGGTTGACATTATTTTCCTTAATAGTTTTGAAATTTTAACGTGCAGCTGAAGAAAACCAATCTTCAATCTCGAAGCAAGAACAGGATGGAAAACTGAGTTTAGGACAAGGCCGGAGTGGCGACTCTGATTTTGCTGCTGACTTTAGTGCTGCAAAAGTTGCTGCAATGAAAGCTGCTGAATTAGGTAAAATCTGATTCCTTATGCAAAAAATTAAGTTAATGTTCTTACATGAGTACTTTCGTTAAATATTTTTCTAAATTAGACACCGGTAGTTCTAGACAAAGTTTGTTGATGGACATTTTCTCATAACTTTGTAACTCTTTTTTTGGGTGTTGGAAGAAAGTTGACTGCATTCTAATGGTGTTCTATTTACAATTCTGAAAGAATATGGTTACGAAATCTGCATGGCTTCTTTTAATATCCTTAAGATTAGGTCTTATTTAGTGTATGCACGTTCACCATCTTCTCTCGACTCGTTTTTGTTTGTGGATTTTATTACTTATCTTCATAATCGTAGTTTGGTTTTCTTAAGTAACTGAAACTGGAACAAGATTCTGTTTAAATGTTACATTGCGTTTTAATTTTGGTTTATGACATGGATGAAATAGAATAACTATAGCTCAGATTTGGGTGATTTTTGACTTTTTACCTTGAAGTTTATAAAAATGGTAATTCTCTCCCATTAACAGTTAATAAGAACCTTGTTTGAGTGGGTTATATGAGCACCGATCAAAAGAAGCTGCTTTGGGGGACCAAAAAGAGCACTGCCGTAGAGGAGGTACGATCATCTATTACTATCATCTTATAATTTTGTTCAGCATGAAATAGTTATGATGAATGAGATCACATATGGATCCTTTTCCATTGTATACAGTCCGGACACCAGTGGGATACGGCGTTGTTTACCGATCGTGAACGGCAAGAAAAATTCAACAAACTCATGGTAAACTTTCCCCCTACCGTCCCTCTCTTTCCCTTCTATTCAATACATCCGTGAATGTTAGAAACCTTTAATTGCTTAGTCGTGACTCAGTCTATTAGAGTTTCTTCATCACCTACTGACACATTTTTAGAGTCTGAGGTTGCCTTGGTGCCTATGGCCAATTGTAGGGTGTGAAGGGCGAGCTGAAGATGGAGCTCCGACCAACCAACAAAGATGGCAGAGAACTTCTCCGTGCCGAAAATCAAAAGGAGCTGCAGATGGATTTGGAAAAGCAATACACTGCTGGACTACGAAGAAGAGATGGTCGAACTGTGGGATTAGGTCTTTAAGCATCTTGGCCGTTGGCTCTGGATTATTTCTGTGCTTGGATGAAATTGTTATGAGAATGTTTTCTTTATGTTGCTGCACAAGAGTTGTGTTGAATGTGCAATCGACAACTTTCGAAGGTATGTTCTTCCCTTCCCCGCCTCCCCTAAAAACCATAGGATTTTGGCGTTATGCATTTATGAAGCTTAGAAAATTATTAGTTGCCTCAAATTCCTAAATTTATTGGTGTGAGATCCCACATCGGATGAAGAGAGGAACGAAGCAATCTCCTTATAAGGGCGTGGAAACTTATCTCTAGAAGATATGTTTTAAAACTATGAGACTAATGACAATACATAATGGGCCAAAACAGACAATATCTAGTAGCGGTAGGCTTGAGTTTGGGCTTTTACAAATGGTATTAGAGCCAGACATCGGGCGGTGTGCCACCAATGTCGTTGAGCTCCCAAAGGGCGGATTGTGAGATCCCACATTGATTGGAGAGGGGAATGGAGCATTCCTTATAAGAGTGTGGAAACTTCTCTTTAGCAGACGCAGTTTAAAATCATGAGACTAATGACAATACATAACAGGCCAAAATATATAATATTTGCTAGCAGTGTCATTGGGTTGTTCCAAATGGTATTAGACTAGACATTAGACAATGTGTTAGGACTTAGGGGAAGGGGTGGATTGTGAGATCTTAGAGTGGTTGGAGAGAGAGGAGAACGAACTGTTAAAATTTCTCACAGTTTTAAAACTGAGGATTCAGGTGTTGAAACATCCATTGAATGACTAGTTTGATTTGATTTGATGGGTTTTTGTTGGATGGTTGAGTGCATAGAGTTACAGATTCAGGATGAAATTCATGTTACCATATTTCCAAAATAAAAGAAAATGGTAGTAATGAAATTCAGAAACCTGTATCATATTTTTATACCACACATTTACAACATTGCCCAAGAACAATAAGAAAAGCTTTTCAATGAACAATAAGAAAAGCTTTTGTAGGTTCGCATTAACAAGGATCAAAATTACCTCTCCAACACATTTTTCCACACAAAATAACTGCCCAAATCCTCCTCACCTTCTTTCTTCCTCATCTGTGTACACAGGCTTTTGCCATTTTTTGTGTTCTTCTTTGGGTCATCCGTGAGGCTAAGATCTGTATCGTCTTCTTTGAACGTTCTGATGAATGTCTTCGCACCTCCTATAATCAGCCTTTCGATCATGAACAACTGATAATTGTTCTTAATCACCAGATCCAGAATATGGCTATAGTTCGACGAATATGCCAACTCTTACCTGCAAAACCGAGGATCAAGAATCAAGGCTAAGAGACAGTTTGATGTCTATATTGGAACACAACATCCATTGAATAAATGTCTTTTTACTACTAAATGGCAAGGAACCAATGCGTCAGCTCTAACTCTAGTGAACTAAGAAGGTGAGTAAGAAGGGCCTCACTGAGCAGAGAGGGGTGAGAAGAACCCAGGACTTCTCTCATTTGAAGCAATAAAAAGTGTGTGCCCTGCCGGAACCCACTTTGCAATTCTCTTCAGCATAAACTCGGGTCGTGTATCTCTGTCTAGATGGGGATGTAAGCTTCTATCAACGCCGAACCTATCCTTTCTCGTCTTTATTTTATCTCCCCGACGAACATGGACGGCACCATAATCGCCAAGTAGCCCCTTAATCTATTAATCAGTATTCGTTTCAGGATAATCGATAAGATGAGAGATTCATGAAGTTATTGGTATAAAACACGAGTATCCGAAAGAGAAACAGAGATCTAGAAACAAATTTATCCTCTACCCTAAGCAAGCCAAATAACTACCAACCACCCATCACAGCTAATTACTCTTTCTAAATTTCTCTGACAGAACTAACCCTTATGTTCTTAATATGGGGTAGGAGAGTCTAACCTCTAACATCTTGATCAAGCATACATATTTTATGTAAGTTGTGCTATGCTCATATTAACATTTAACACCTAGGTTCTAAATCTTCCTTTACGAAACATATAAAGATCGCCAATCATTGGTGTGCCTTCTAGGCAGTTCCCAAGAGGGCACCACTCACATAAAATACGTATCTTCGATCAAGATATCAGAGGGCATCACATAATTTTGAGTCATCTAGAGGTGGAAAACTAATGATGGGACATGAGATTAAAGCAACGAGTGGTAACCCCTGATATCATCCTAGTTATCATTGAAAAGAAGAGAGAAAAACTATTTCGTGAGACTTCAACTAGATGTTTGCTAGACACATTCAAGAGCATCTAAATTAAAGTCTTCACAATTGACCAAGAACGCAATAATTATGTTTCCACTAAGACTACAAAACACCAACATAGAAAAACGGAAATGAATTCAAATAATTTATGTGTATGCAATGCAATAATGGATAACAAAAGAAAGAACCAAATATAATTTCAAAAAAATACCTTCTCAGCTGCATCTCTCAAGTTCTCTGCTGCCATTGAAGGAAGAAAGTTGTACGGCAACAATATGGCACTGCGGTTGTTTCTGTCCTTGCATTCCATAAACCTAAAGAGTTATCATGATATTAACACCCAAATAATTCATAACTTGGGATCTTAAAACAAAATATTTGTCACAATAAGTTGAAAAGACATGCATAAAAACAAGACATTAAAAGGACAAGCCTACTTGAGCTTTACTTCCACATACACAACAGAGGTAAAACGAATCTTATTTTCCAAGATTTGATTTACCATGAAAGAGGGCTAGCAGGTCGATTTATTAGCAAAAGATTAGAGTAATGACTGTTGTCTCTAAGTTCAACACGACCAACTTGCTCAACATCGGCAACTGCTCTAGCTCCCAATTTCATACCAGTTGACAACACCTGATACCGTATTTTTGAGTCGTCTAAAATCACTGGTATGGTGTCGGATATAAGATCCATATCGTACAAAGAGTCCATAGCACAAGAGTTCGCATCCCAACTACAATACATAATAACATCACAATTATATGAAAGAACAGATGAATTTTTATGTGATGCAGTTTGCGTCTTAGTTTGAAGCAAGAAGAGAATCAAGTCAATACAGGTTCAACTATCATCAAGAACATGTTTGTCATAAGAAACACCTTTCCTCGGAGCTTGCATTGTTGGGCTGATGAAGAATCCCTTTCTTATTATGAATAGGGTTGATACACATTCTAGAGGGCATTACAAATGTTCTGCAACAAAAAGGAAGATTAGTAAATTGTCTAAGTAGGATACGCAAAAGCATTCGTTCAATAAATTATGTTGGACGAAATGGCATTGGGGCCTTTAAAGGAAGGACAAATACTGAAACGAGTTTGAGCGGATCATCCAGGTCTTCTTTCTTGGCCTTGGAAGTTACAGAGTCTATCTTTCTAGTAAGGCCGGATGTAATATCCACTTCGCCTTGTAAAGTGAAGTGGGATGTGAAAGGTACAAAGAAAAGTGAACTGTAGGATCTCGTCTGACTTACCACACACCTAATCCGTCAAAGCTAAAAAATCCTTCAACCCGATTACTAGACCAGCTCTGTCTCCATTAGTTCTAGTTTCAGTGACGAGAAAGAACTAAATGGCACCTCACCGCCGAGCAATTAACATAGTATATACATCAATCAAGGGCAAACAGAAGTTTCTAAGTTGAATGCTGCATGCAAAAGTAATTAGCTGCTTTAAATCTATACAGAATTGTTCATCTAATTCTAATCCTAAATCCCTTCCAGACAGAAACATGATCATGCCAATCCAACAAATTAAACAAGAAGATAACGCCTCCAATCAAGAATTAAACCAAAGAATTCAGAAGAACTTCATAAAAATTACCTCTGGAGGAACATGGCTTCCTCAAGAGCACACCTCAAGCTAGACTCCTGGTGACCCAAACCCTCACAAGACTCGCAGTGCTTCCCCGGGCAGTCGATTCTGCTGCCCCAGTACAAGAACTTATCGTTCGCACTATAAACGTGGCGGTTACGGCTCTATTTGGGGGTCAGATTCTTGAATCTGAAGATTTTATTGGTGGAAATGAGAGAGGAAAAGATGAAAAGAAGCGTAATGGCAACGAGGGCAAGGAAGAAGAAGAGGAGTGGGAATCTGGGTTTGGGTTTTGGCTTCTGGGTTTTGTGAAGCGGCATTGAAACTGCCGAGCGGAAGAGAGATTGAAATCTTCAGCGCACAGTGATTGGAATTAGATTCACTAGAACACAGAAATGATTTAGTAATGGGATCACATCCGCTGAACGACAAGAACTTGGATCCAGCGTTTGTAGTAGTGAGTACTCAGATTTTGTCATCAGTAAAATTCTAATCAGAGAATAATTGAACACTATTTAAAAAAGTTTTAAGCCATTATAGTCTAATTCCATCATAAGAAAAATATATAATTGTTATTCATTTTTATATTTAAAATAAAAATAGTTTCCAGAATTTGAAAAGTGCAATGAACAAGTATTTTCTGTTAACGAAAGGCTATCAACATTGTATACAGTTGCACAACTATATAAGAGATAAGTTAGAATGCACGACGTGTCATTTTTTATAGTATCAATCTGAGACATACCCATTACACTAAACTTTTGGGGCAACTTCTAAAAAGCGTTGGATAAGCAGATAAGCAATTGGATTTCAATATCGCATTCTACCCCACAAACAGGTGGTATGAATGAACATCTAAATCAGATCTTGGAAGATACGTTACATTAGACTTCACAAATAGTTGGGACTTCAAGTTACATCTCATGGATTTTGTTAACAACATCGATTTCTAAGCAACTTCAATATGACACCATTTGAAGCATTATATGGAAAACGTTGTAGGCCCCTAATACATTGGAATGAAATTGTGTAAAAGATCAAGAAGAGAATGCGTACGACCCAAGGTAGACAAAGGAGTTATGCCGATGTAAGGCATAGAAACTTGAAATTTGAGGTAGGTAATAAAGTATTCTTGAAAGTAGTGTCTATGTAGGTGTTATGAGATTTGGGTGTAAAGTCAAGTTAAGCCCACATTTTATCGGGCCCTTCGAAATCTTGAATCAGTGGCTAATCTAGCTTCACTACCATCCCTTTCCACTTAAATTCTAGGTATCTATGCTTTGCAACTATATGAACTTGGTCTAAATAGTTCATAAATGATGTCATGGACTTGAGTGAGTATAAACAACATATTTGTAGGCTCTTGTCGAAACTTATTCCTATACACGAAATCTGAAGCTTTGTGCTCCTATCTATCCCTAGCTCTATATCTGTTCCGACCTATTCAAGTCTCTAAGTACCAAAACCTTAAACGTAACTCCTATGTAGAGTGCACTACCCCTTTGGAGTTCATAATTGAAGGGGTTCGAGTGCTTTGTACTCTAATTTTTACGTATCTCTAGGTCCCTCATAATACTTGTGCGAAGTGCACCTCGAATCAATTTGCCCATTGACTTGTACACTCGCAAGGTTGGGCCTAGGGTAAGTCTAGTGAGTATAGAGGAGCCCTTTTGCTCTAATGCGATAAACATACTCCACATTTGACTATTTACTAAGTTCAAATTAGAGAATTATCCCTAGTGATATAGGGTAATATCTATTTGTTGTATCGTCTTTTCAGGTGAAACAGTAACTCGCATGTTGCGCCACCCTTTCGAGTAGAGATAGTAAACTACCTATTGCGTTGCCCTTTCGAGCAGAGATAATAAACTACTTGTCACTTCGCCCTCTTGAGTGGAGATAGTAAACTACCTATCACGTTTCCCTCTCAGGTGGAGACAATAAATTATCTGGCTCCCTCACTAGGCACAAGCGATACTAACTTAGTAACGTACCCGCTATGATTCCCGTAACCCACTATGGGTGACTACCAAGACTTATGTACCAAACAGACCCTAACCTTTTTTGGTTAGTTCACGAATAAGGGCTACACCCAAATTGTCCCTGCAAGGTACTTGGTCAACCAAATGAAGATAATGGGACATGCAACTAGATTCTAATCATAACTGAGCATAAAACTATCATAATAGAGTAACGTAAAACCGTAGTTCATAAGATAAAACTATCATAATAGATACACTAAATAGCAATCATCCAAAGCATAACTGAGCATAAATGGATTTCCAAACCCTCGAACATGCATGTAAGGATAACCATTTATACATCATGCTCAACATGCTCAATACATGAGATAAAAATCAATCAAGGCATGTTGGAAAGTTCATAAACATGTTAAAACTATTGAGTTTTCAAACATGCAAGCGGAAGCTAACTATGCTGTAAACTATGCTAAACTGTAAACGTACTTATTTCTAAGTTTAGCTATCATGATAGTTGCTCAATTAGGCTCTTAAATATGATTTCTAATAATATGTCACACTTCCTAATGAACTCCTACAAGGACTATTTGAATACTTGATTCATTTGATTACTTACTTGTTTGCGCATGTTCAAGTTCACAGTTCTCGGCCTTCTCGAAGTTGTAATCCTTCCTATGTTTAGAAAAAGTATCAATATCGGCCAGTGGTGGCCAAATTTCTAGGATAGTTAGTTAGAACAAGTATCATTATAGGGTAGGTCAAGTATTCTAACATCCCAAGCCCATCTTATTGCCATGGGGTAGGTTAAGTATTGTAACAGCCTAAGACCACCACTAGCCGATATTGCTTTCTATTTCTCCTCAAGGTTTTTAAACGGGTCTAATAGGGAGAGGTTTTCGCACCCTTAAGAGGAATGTTTCGTTCTCTTCTACAACCGATGTGAGATCTCACAATCCACCCCCATTAGAGGCCCAACATCCTCGCGGTGTCTGAGACAACTCACAATCCACCCTCTTTGGAGGCTCAGTATCTCGTTGGTACACCACTCGGTGTCTGGCTTGATACCATTGGTTCTTCTATCCAATCGATGTGGGATCTCATAATCTACCTCCATTGGAGAACCAACATCCTCGCTAGCTTACACCAAAAAAACTCTTATTCCTATAATATTTAGTTAGATTAAGAATATATTACTAACCACCTTAATTAACCCTCTGAAAATGTGACTCAATCTTTGTATTTTTAACTCAATAAGTTTCATTGTAGGATTTGAACAAGTTCAACCGTGACATTGACACATTGCAAACACCTTCAATAAGGAGACGATCCAGAAAGCCAGTATGAGATCACACATAGATTTCACATTGTGAACCACCGATGGAAGCCACTTTAAAAATATTTTCTTAACCAAATATAATATATTAATCATCTAACATGCATATTCAGCTTTATGCCAAAAATTCAATCTACTTGTAGGTGACAGAATACAAAGTTATCCATCGCCTAATATATAAACTTCCATTTGCTGTTCCTCATACCATTGGACAAAAATATACAGAACAGGAGAATTCCTCGTGTTAGTTTCTTTACAAATACATAAAATTTCCCAAGATTGCTCCACTGAGAGGAAGGCCAAGGAGGAGCAGTGTTTTATGACATCATAAAATACAATTATATTGACAATATTGTCGAGAAAAAAAGTCATTTCATCGCTGTGTATTCCCATGTCGAACCCCTATCTGTTTCGGATACTCCTGGAAAGTGGAAGAATCCAAGAAAAAGGTAAGTAATGGATCTACTGCAAATGCAAATGCAAGAACACTAGATTCCCTCGAGATTCTTATCGAGGCAGTAAGTAAATACATCACAATGACACTAAATTGTAATCAAAAGATCTAAAAGACGATATGATATGTAATTGTCCTTGACTTTCCTTTTCAGGCTTTCTCTCAAGGTTTTTAAAACGCGTATGCTAGGGAGAGGTTTCCACACCCTTATAGAGAGTGTTTCGTTCTCCTCCCCAACCGATGTGGGATCTCACAATCCACCCCCTCCCCCACGGGGCCCAGCGAGGATGCTGTCAATCGTTCCCTTCTCCAATCTATGTGGGACCCCCAATCCACCTCCTTTGGGAACCAGCGTCCTTGCTGACACTCTGCCTCTTGTCCACCCCCCTTAAGGACTCAACCTTCTCGTTGGCACATCGCCCGGTGTCTAGCTCTAAAATCATTTGTAATAGCCCAAGCCCACTTCTAGCAAATATTGTCCTCTTTCAACTTTCCTTTTCAGGCTTCCCCTCAAAGTCTTTAAAACGCGTCTACTAGGGAAAGGTTTCCACACCCTTATAAATAATGTTTTGTTCCCCTCTCTAACCTTAAGATACCATCCATTTTATAAACATAAAGGCACCAGTCAACTTGACCCCGTAGTCAAGCGCTGATATAGCAATTTCTGCGCATAAAATAAGTCACAAATAAAGGAGGAAGAACTCACCTGATAGGAAGTGACTGAGAACCAACTACAGCCCCTCTAGGTGCACTCTGGCGTCGAGGCCTTTGATCGCTCTCCCTGCTTACACGCATAGCAGCGAGTTCCTTCTCCATTGCCACTACTTCTCTTCGCATTTTCTTTGCTTCAACCTCCATTGCTTTATTCAAAGTATCGACCTTCTTTGCTAACATCTATACACGGCCAAAATAAATGCACAAAAAGCCATGGATGAAATACTAGAGAATGGAGATGAATGTATAATCTTCAAATTCAGTCTACAAACTAACCTCAATTGCATCATCCTTGTCTCTGAGGGTTACATCCTTCTCATGACAAGCTTTCCTAAGAGATATGACTTCTTTCTGTAACATATCATACAATGCACCAGAAACGGAATCTTCTAGCTCTGTTTTGGTTTTTTCGACTGCGATACCGTCTTCATTTTCTTCGTATGGAACGATCGTCTCACCACTGGTCAGACTGGTCGCTGTGTCTGACTTATCTTTTACTGCCGCATCCTGCACAAGCTTCTCTCTTTCCAGTGATCTACTACCACCATCAAATGATCTAGAAGAGGGTTTTGTAGTAGTCTTCAACAATGCACTGACACTATTCGACTGGAGCGATCCTGTGTGCGAGTTTGTATTTCTCCTGGATAAATAGCCATTTGAAGACAGTTTAGATAGTTCTGCTCCTCCAAGAGATTGACGTCTCGAAGGTCCCGTGCTTATGCTTCTTCCTTCAGAAGCAAATTTCGGGTTACCATTAGATGATCTAAGCTTTTCCTCCAAAACCTTGAAGCGCAATTGATATTTTTCCTAAGTTTCCAATCAACACATGCAACAACATTTGTGATTAATTCAAGAGGACATAAACCGCTAAATGCAAAAGTTAATTCTTCTCACTTTCATTTGTGCTTCAGCCTTTGCAGTGCGCTCAGCAACTGCTAGTTTTTCACGAAGTTGCTGCATTTCTCCCTGCAAGTGTATTCAAGACTACATTGATTAACCTGTGTAATACACAATATTATTCATGGAAACTACATTTTCAACATTTGACTCTTATTCAAACTACTTTGGCTATCCTCCCCATCCACACTATCTATCCAGTTTCTACTCCCACAAAACTTTCAGCGTCATTGAGAGTCTTTTTAGGAATTTGTTATGGAAGGGAACAGAGAACAGGGTGGTTCTCACAATTTAAGATGGGATAAAGTTAAACGCCCATTAGAGGAAGGTAGCCTAAAGATTATTGACATAAAACTTTAACAATACATCTTGGCTAAATGGATCTGACGATTTCACAAAGAAAGATCTGTGCTCTTTAGAGAAGGTTATTGTATCAAAATATGGCTCTCTGCATTTTGATTAGAAGCCTCGAAGTTTCTCCCTAGACTCATCGAAGGGCCTTCAAAATTGATAGTGTTCGAAGACATGATTTACACCACTACCACTTGCAAAGTTGGAAATGGGTGGTTGGCATAAGGTTTTGGTATGATAACTGGCTGGAAGGTGTGCCTCTCATGGATCAGTTCCCTTTATTATTTTCTATCACGATGGATTAGGAGGCAAAGTCGGCTGGTTTTTGAAATTCATCCACGGGCACAAAATTTTAACCCCAGGAGAAACTTAACTAATCGTGAGACTGAGGAACGGGCTATGCTATCTCATACACTCGACAGCATAGTCCTCAATGAATCACCTGACGGATGGTGGAGAAGAATGGAACCTTTTTCATCTAAATCTCTTACCAGCTCATTAGTCTCACAGGGTGATAGGAGCTTAAAAGTTCTTTATTTTTCTATTCGGAAAGGTACCTATCTCAAAAAGGTCAAAATCTTCATTTGGGAGCTAAGCCACACTTGCCTCAATGCAAGAAACTAAAATACATTAAGAAACTCTTTCCAGGTATTTAAAAATGCACATGCTAACTACGACACACCTGAAAAAATCTTCTTTCTTCAAGCCATTGTTTTACTGGCATCACTTTATCATTTGCGTCTTTCCATTCATTAGCAACAACAGTAGCAACCCTGTTGGCGGTAACTTTTGCACGAGCTACCTCACGTTCTAAAGTTCTTATTTCATCCTATAAAAGAAGCAAAATCAAGGTTGATTGGAAATTTTGTAACGTGCACCCGAGATAAAAATAATTGAAAATTTAAATCAGAATTATTACACTCATCTCTTTCACTTTTCGCTGGTAATCACGCACAGCATTGGCAGCAGCACCACCAGCCAAGACAGCCTCCTCAAGCTCCTGGACAGTTTGCATTAGCCTTTCAACTTCTGCAACCTTTTGTCTGTGCAGCTTGTCTAATATCTTATTCTCCTCCTAACATTGTGGCGAATACAAGTTAAATTAAGCATTCTGTCATATATTTAACAACTAAATGAAAACCAAGAATTAAATAGGTGGCATGAAAACTACTAAAGAACTTTTGAGTGATCAAGCAACCTGGCATATTTCAATTTGCTTCATTAACTCTTGGTTTTTATTTTGTAAGTCATCAACCATGGATGCTTTTGCCAAAGCAATCTGGACGGTTCTCTCGGCCTCAAGCAGTGCAGCCTCCTTGGATTTTGTAAGTCTGTCCAGAGCTCTATTGTCATCTTGCAACTTTGCTACCTAAAAACCAGATAATTGTTACTGAGACATGGAAAATAGTTACTCTTCCATGACTTGTACATGGAGCTGAAAAGAAACTGTTGTAATGACATACAAATGTACACTCAGATGAAAAATGTAAGACGAGTTTTAATTCTACCTCCAGCCGGGCTAGCTTAAGCTCTGCCTCCAATGGTGCTATAATGGCCTCAATCGGAGGCATTTCATCATCTTTTTGAGCGGTGTGTACCCTTCGAAGGGTGGCTTCAGCAGCAAATTGGGCAGCTAATGCAGCCTTTTTCTCATCATTAATCTTCTTGATTTCAAGGTTCTACAATCATAGTAAAAATAATATTAGTGGATGTAGTAATGGGGGATGGTTATGGGCATATTAACTCCTATCAGAAGATAATATTAACTTCATAAGTACCTTGCTTTCCAAAAGAGCTTCAGTTGCCTTGAGCTTTTCATCTACTTTCTTCAACTCATCTGTTAACTAAGAATATGATGCAAGAGTATGAGTATCATCTACTGCCTAGTGTCTGACCGTCATTAAGCACAGGTTAGATATCTCTTGACCAAAAGTTGTAAAATAAACATATGAAGAAGTTCATAAAAGTACTTTGAAGAATGGTTGGTGGTTGTGGTTGTGGTTATGGTTGTGGATGTGACAAAATCAACCAATATAGAATTATTAATTTCAATGCCAACCTTCATATCCAAAAAAATAAAGTAAAACAGCAATTTGGATTTGCAACATGGTACTGAGCTTTTTCTATTATGAAAAAATCTGATTATAACTAAACCCTAACCTAATTGGTGGAGCTTTCATAGCTATCGATCCTCCGCTGAAGTTTCATTTGGAGGCTTCATAGCTACCATCACAATGCCGAAGTTTATTCAACAACGCCTTCATCATATTATCGTTGAGAGAGATCAACAAGTATGAGAAGTGAGAAGTACATAACTTCTCATTAAAAACTTCCTTTCCAGAGATTGGTGAGAGAAATTGCTCAAGATTTCAAGACTGACCTTCGTTTCCATGACAACGTTTTTTGGTATTGTAAACCCAACAGTAATTGCAAGCAAGTCCAATAATCTGTGTGATAAGGTAACCCTAGCCAATTGGATCTAAGAACTCTCCTAAACACACTGCATATGCAAACTCCAAAATCACAAATGCTAAAACCCTAAAATCAATTTGATTTCATTCCAAATGATTGCAACTCTCGGGAGTATGATCTAACAACCTTATTGAAGAATAAGACCTTTAGATCTAAATATATCCAAGAACCTCAAAATGATTAAGAATCACCCCAAGGGAAAATAAGATCCGGAATACCTTGTAGATCGAATATCTCAAGGTAAGAAAACTTCATTGATATTCAAATCATTCTACAGGCAAGATTGATCATGTCAAACTTTAATGATTCTAAACATGCAACTTAAACTACATAGACTATATCGAATTGCAAATAAACTTAGTCCTTGGCACAACTGCTCTTTTTAATACATTTTCCAAGTCTACTTATAAAGACAACATACATGAGGCATTTCAAAAGTTGTAACCTTCATACTTTATGCCCATAATTAGCCACCATGTAAATATAACCTTAAAGTAAATAAAATGTCTTAAAATACATTAATAAAACACCTCAGTTCTAGATTATCATCCACAAAAAATTTATAATCATATAAGACTAAATGAAACTTGATTCTTTTTTAACGTGGCATGGATCGCAACTTGAGTTTATCTCGGGGTAATTCAAATAATATTTTTTTCACATATTTCTTGAAGTTCATATTGTATGATTGAGATGTCTTAGTTCATATCATCGTGACTCTTGGAAGCTTTGCGCTAGTCTCCCCAAAAGTTCAGCAATGCAAGTCCATTCTTTGCTCAAGTCTTAAGTTCAGCAATGCAAGTCCATTCTTTGCTCAAGTCTTGAGAGCCTAGTAATCGCAAGCCAAGCCCATCGTTTCGCAAGTCCGACGAAGAATCCATTCTAGATATAGAACCAACAACACAAGTCTGCAAGTCCAGTATAGTCAAAGCATCCATAGCTTTCCGCAAGTCTGGCATAGGTTTCCGCAAGTTAAGAGAATTTTGAAGCCTAGCAATCAATTCCTACTATACCCATTACTAATGCATCCATTCCTCCCCGCTTTCAAGCCACTAATCAACATTAGAAGGAAAGTCATTCACACAATCCGCAAGCCCATTAACATACATTAATAGTTGCAAGCTCAATTTTCTGCACTTTCCACACTTCGTAATTTTTGCAAGATTGATTCCATTTTATAAAAAAATGAACGAAGAAAATTCCGCAAGATTGTGAAATCAGATTCAGATTGATTCACCTTCCAAATATTACATTCCGTAAGCAAATGGATACACTTTCTTCTACCTTACGCAAGATTGTGAAAGCCCATAGTCACTGTTCCATTTCCGTTTAGCCATATCCCATGCCCAAAGCCCATATCCAAATTACCGTAAGCCCATATCCACCACATTTTATCTTTTCTCCATATCGAACACATTATTGTAAGCCCATATCCAACACAAGTACCACATATCATATCCTCCTAAGCCCCTATCATCAATATCCACCAAAGCCCTTTCCATATCAACCTTTTTGTAAGCCCATATCCACCACAAGTGCTACCGCCCAACGCATACCAATGGACGAGCCTACTAATGGAAGAGTAACAAAGACAATTTATGGTATACTCGCTACAAGAAACCACGAAAAATGAAGGAGAGTTGTTGGAAATTGAACAGAAAGCCTCCCAGTCATGAATATGGAAGTCGGGGAGGCCCACAAAATCATCGTTTGAGAAACAAGGGAGAAATGTCAAAGGCATGAGCGTACATTGCAAAGGAGTTCAAATCAGAACAAAAGGCCCCAATTGTGAAGGACTAGTGGATGCAATAATGAAGAGATTGAAAGATTGAAGGTGTTCTTGAACTCGCTCAACAAACCATCAAGTTCTAGTACATTTACAATCTCAGGTAAGTCTTCCTTCACTTTCTTCCTTCACCCTTTAGAGATAAGTCAAGTTAACTCTTGGATTATAGACTCCGGTGCAACTGATCACATGATCCCCCACTCACAACCTTTTTAAAGCATATAAATCATGCTTGAGTAATCAAAAAATTACAGAGGCAAATGGAACCAATGCCATTATTGCAGGAATAGGCACTGTATTTGTTTCTCAAACCTTTAAACTAAAAAACGTTCTACACGTCCCAAAACTATCTAATACTCTACTTTCCATACAAAGCTTCCTCATGACAGCCACTGTCATGTTATTTTCTCCTCGTCATGTCATGTTTTTCAAGACTAGAACTCGAAACAGACGATTTGAATGGCCTATCCTACTTGCAATTATCTAGAGAACAATCAGTCCTGCACATGTGTCATTTCTTAGTTCTTCTAATAAAGATACGATTTGGTTACATAACTTTCGCATGGGTCATCCCTCATTTAGAGTTGTGAGATTTATGTTTCCAAACCTAAGGTGGAAAAACAAGAGGGTCCAAAGCTTCTAACCCAAATGTTCCCTAACCCTAATTGCCCTAGAAAAACACATGGTGTTCTAATACCATGTTCATGTCAAGCCAAAATACAGATGAATCCTTCCAAGTCGATATATTAAGTTCAATATATAGGCATACATGTGAGCTCTAAACCAAGAACAGTAAAATTACAATAAAGAAGACTAATAAGCTCCTATAATCACATGCATACTTGATAAAAGAATAAAATAGTACCTCTTCAACAGCCCTCTCTTTGAGCCGTTCTGAATTTTTTAATGACTTAACTTCAGCAAGAGCCTCCCCCAGTTCTCTGTCCTTATCTGCATATATAAAAAGAAAAATATTCAATTGGGTCTAATAATACTTGATTCCAAAGAAACCTGAGTCTCTTCTCATTCTTGTTATATTCCTTCTTTGAACATGAAAATTACTATTTAACATTTCCAAAACTTAAAAAAGTTAAAAAAAATAAGAATTTCATAAGATATATGAAATGCCAAACATGCAATATATAATGGTCATTAAAAAGGAAGCAATGGCATTGTTGACTCCAGTCGCTATAGGAGTATTTCGAGTACAGCCAATATTACCTTATATCCCTTTCATACAATTTAGTTCTCTTGATATTGATCTCAGATATAAAGACGTAATTGGTGGAAGTCCTATTTCAACCTCCATAGGTGTTCGGTACAATATACCACCAGTACATTATAATCCATTTCAGAACATAAAACTCGAAGACCCATAAATAACAGCTGTCGATAATACGACCTTACTTGAACAGGATTTGTTCCATAAATTGTACAATTGTATCCCTGATTTCTAAAGACAACAACCATCAATACAATCTGATAGTCTAGGTTCAAAAGTGGAGCATAAGCCGCAAATAATGAGCAACAAGTTGGCCAAACACAAGTGACAAAGAGAAGACCAATTAAAACTCGAAACAAATAGGAGCACCTCACAGAAGAAAGTTCAAGCACAAACATCTTACAAAATGTTTCCTTCAAGATTAATGTTGTACATATTTTAGCACAAAGATAGAAGGAATCAACTATAACTTCGAGCTTTCACTAAGAGAATGAAAGAATATACAAAGGCATATAGAAATTTGTTATTAAAAATGTTACACGATTAACAGCTTTCATTTCGAGAGCTCGAGTAGAAGTTTTCTTCATTGGCCCAATGGATGCTTCCATAAATCTTTTCTTTTTTTCTTCCAGAAGTCTTATCTTCCCATTTATAGTTCGTTAATACATTGCCGGCGTTCTCTTCTTTATTTTTTTCCTTATCTGAAAATTAAAAGAAGGAAAAGAAATCCTACGAACAGTTTCAGGAGGAAAAACATTATTTAGCTAGAAAATATAGAATTTCTTTCTTCTGTGCAAAACATATTGAAATTCTCTTCAGACCATATCAAGTGGTTTCTTTCAACTATTAACGGAAACCCAGAATATTAATCAACCAAAGACCGAATTTACAGAAGACATGTATACATATAAATAACAATAACAAGAAAAAGGAAATCAGAAACACCATGGAATCATGATGCAGCAATTATCACTAGCAATTACACGGCTCCAATTTTAATAACAACGTGCATTTCAGAGTTCCATCATTAATTTTCTCCAAGGTAGGTAACTTCTCTACCTTCCATAAGAACAGTAGAAAGATCGAAAAAGTAGATGCACACAATTCAAAATCGATCCAACATCAGAAAGCAACAAACACTTCAAATCTGGAAACAAAGGACAAAACACAAACCCCAGATGAAAAATTCAAATTCAAACGGAACAAAACAAAAGAAACCCCTGTGCGCCACAAAACAAACCAAACTCATATCAACAACAACGATTCTCCACCAGCATTCAAAAACAAAAGAGAAGAGATAAGGAAGAAAACAAAAGGACCTCGAACTTCATTCTCAAGGCGATTGAGCTCGACGCGGACTGGATCAGAACCGTGCAAAAGAGTAATAATATCATCCACATCAGACCCAGCACGTGAAATTGGCGGGGCAGCAACATTGGGCTTCTTACGAGGCTTGAAAGAAGCAGAGGAGGAAAGCGAGAGCTTAGCAGAATCGAGAACATCCCCACCATAAGCAGAGGAGTTAATGTGGTTACTCGCCATTAAAGATCTAGCTCAGAATCCTCCCGGCCTCAGTCATAAAGCGAATTGCTCCGCAGCAGCCCTAAGAGAAATGGCGAGACCCAGAAGGGGAAATGGGAACAGGGGAAGAAGGAGTTAGGGGAAATGGGTAGCGAGAGAAAAAGGAGATTAAGAAAGGGGTTTAAGGAGGGATTTAAACGAGAGAATGGAGATTAGTTTTGAGATTGAAGGAGAGCTTAGAACTTAGAAGAGCTTGATAGAAGCTGAATTTTGATTTTGGACGGACTGAGAGATGAAGGAATCAAGTTCAGGGGAGAGATGATTGTGTACGGGCTGATCTTTTTCCGGGACTGTTGTGTACCGTCTGATCTGCTGCGATTGAAGACCGTCGTATGATTGTGGGACCTTTAATTTGACTCATCACTCCAATGCCCCACTTAATGATAATTTAGTTTTTTATTTTTACAACAATCAAAGAAAAAGACATTAAACCATTTGAACTTTGAAGATATAAAAAGCATTGGAATTTGAAGACATAAAACTCATTGGAACTTGTAAGGAAATTTAAAAACTTCCTCCCTCTCGTTCTTAAAAATATATTTATATTAAGACGACAGGTCGGAGAATTGTGTGGGGATGGAGACGAGGAATATATTCTCATCTTCGATCCATTTATCTAATAAAGAGAAATCTCTCTTCACTTCCTTCTTCATTCCCGGTCTAAACTAGAAATCTCTGCCCTATTCGCGGCGACTTAAATAAATATCTCTAACCTCGGATTGATGGTCATAAATATAATGAAATACACTCCACCGGTTTCAAACCTCGCACTTAGAGTAAAGGGGTGCCAAGCATTAAGGAAAAAAAATGTTATAGTCTTAAGACCCAAAGTCTACCTATGCACAAGGAGGAGCATTCAAGAGACGCCACATGTCACATTATAGAAAATCGAGGAAAAACCTTATGCATGCAAAGGCTCAAGCTGTGGTCTCGAGAGCTATTACATTGAGGAGTCGTATGTGAGACTCACGCATATGATCTCTCTACATGTGAATTAAGGGTGAGTTTTTGTTCTTTTCGACCTCTTTTTGAGCTCTGATTTTAATAATAAGTCTATTATAACTTGAATTAGGACAAGCAAGGCACACACTAAGAGAATGAACTCTTTACCGTTATTACTCGTGGCTGTTGGGTTGGGTGGGCGGGTTAACACCCCTCGTCGCTGTTGTCTTTAGCCGCACGTCGCCAGTGAGAACAAGAAGAAATAATAGAAGGCATAAGGATGAAGACTGAATCTTGGTGCAAAAAAGTGCAAAACTGCACACTCTTGGATGTAATGGAACCTAATCTCTATATGCTTGCTCCAGTCGTGCAAAACTGGAGTTTTGATCAGGGAGATCATAGATTTGTTGTCCGTACAACATTGGTGGATCGCCTTCTCTTCCGCTCAGCTCCTCCATCAACCACGCAAGTCAGATTCCCTATGTGGCCACCGTCGTAGCGGCGATGTACTCTGCTTCGGAAAAAGACAGAGCAACTACCTTTTGTTTAGTTGATTGCCAGCAAATCGCGCTGCCTGGGAGGAAGTAAATCATTACACTAGTGCTCTAATGATCATTAATGTCACCGGGCATGTCACTATCACTATAGCCAACCAGCTCAAGCTTCTTCCTTCCTCTCCCTACACAATATCTCACACCCCTGCAATTGGTTCTGGGCACATAGCGTGGGATACACTTGACAGCCACAAGATGCTCCTCCCTTGGTGTTTCCATAAACCTACTCACATATCCAACAGAATAGGCGAGGTCAGGGCGTGTGTTTATCAGATAGCCCAGACTCCCGACGATGCTGCAGTAATTAGTGGCGTCGACCACCGACGTAGTGCTGACCTTCCTTAGCTAGAGTTGGGCCTCCATTGGTGTCCTTATAGGGTTACTGTCCGCCAACCTAATTGTGTCCAACAACTTCTTCACGTATGCACCTTGACAAATGGTGATGCCGGTAGTACTCTGCTGCACTTAAATGCCAAGGTAGTAGCTGAGCTCGCTGAGATCGCTCATCTTGAAGATCGTTGACATCTCCCTCTTGAATCTTCCAAGAGCTTCCATGTCGCCTCTAGTGATTATGAGATTGTCGACGTACACCCCCACGATCTATCGTTGCTCGCCGTGGCCGCGCATGTATATGCCATGTTCAGAAGCACAGCGCTTGAACTTGAACGTCAACAGGGTACTGTCGAGTTTCGCGTTCTAGGTGTGTGGTGCTTATTGAAGCCCGTAGGAAGTTTTTTAAGTTTTTTAAGATACATACTACTATAAACTAGTCTAAGAACCTCTTCAAATATCTAGTTCATAAAATTATACAAGTTGTAGGCATTAATGAGTCAAAAGACCTCACAATCACCCATAAGAATTATGTTGAAATGTAGAGTTTTTCAAAATATTGTTCTTCTTGGTTCATATACTTTAGATAACCTTTGTTTGCCTTAATTAATTCCTAATATTCAATAAATTGACACATGGGCCAATCATTTCCTCTAAACGATCACCACTAATGTGTTCAATAGAAAATGCTAAGGTGTTTCAAGTCTTGACTTTGTAGATCGAATATCTATGACTTGGTCTACCTCAAATTTACTCAATCATTCTATCTATAATTTTAAGAACTTGAAGTGAGTTTATGACTCAATATTTAAATCAACATTTGGGGTTCATACGAATGTTACGAAAACTCAAATACTTAATTCAATCTTAATTCACAATTTTGCCACTTCCTCCAACATAACTTGTTTTCTTCTTTTTAACGTTTTTTTATATATATATTGAGGGATAACATTGTTTGGTATATGGTTTTGGACTAAAGACCTTTGATATGGAAAATCACTACAAGGGGAGTAAGATTCGAATTACCTTGTTGATAGAATATCTCAAGGTAAGAACATTGTTCGAGATTCGAATTACTTCACAAGCAAGATTGATCATGTCGAACTTGAATAATTCTACATGCAACCTAAACTACATAGAATTGTAAATAAACTTAGCTAGGCTAAAAAAAACACAAATGCTCCTTTTACTACATTTTTGAAGTCTACTTACAAATACAACATACATGACTTTATATAGTCTCAAAATGAAGGCATTCAAAGAGTTGTAACATTCATATTTAATGACCATGATTAACCATTATGTAATTGTAACCTAAAGTAAATAAAAAGTCTTAAAATAAATTAATGAAATAGAATAACTCTAAATTACTCTAAATGGTAATCCACCCAAAATTTATAACATGAAACTTGATTCTTCTTCAATGTGGCATGATTGAAATGTCTTTTGATAATTTCAACAATATTTTCTTCACATCTTCATTGAAGCATATTGTATGATTGATGTCTCTTGGTTCATATCAACCTTGGTCTACGGTTTTGAGTTCTTGATTATAGGGACATTTCGGTTATTTTATACATATAATTGGTTTAGCTCCTTGACATATTCTAATAATTACCCAATTTTATGCATATAGTTATCGTATTATATTAAGCCTTTTATTAAAATTTTATGAGGAGTGGAGACCATTTAGTGAGTTATTTTAAAGTGGCTAGAATCTCGAGCAAATGGTAAGAGTTTAAGTTCTTATCTTTCATTCTTGTTTAACTTTTCTATAATCCTTTAAATCTTACTTTTAACTTAGGGTTAGATTTTCAAGTGATGAAAAAAAAATTCTAGATTGGCTGTTTATATGTTCATCTACATGTGGGTCCTCATTCCTTGAGCTTAAAACCTATGTGAATTGGAATGAAAGAGGGCCAAATTAATACAAACCATGACTGGTTCATTTTAGTGGTGACGTGACGATCACCATCCTCATAATCCGTCATACTATTATGTTGAAACATAGTTACATAGTGGTATTGGGAATATTATCAAAGGTAGAACAAATGGTTGTCATGGAAATAATTCTACTTTCATCATCATGGAGACATCTCATGCCACAATTATTGTGAAACCTTTAAATTACTTTGTCTTTTTCATACTTATCGTTGTCCTCGAACTTGACTTTAAATCTCACAATTAGTGTCAAGACAGGGAGATTTCTACATTTCAGTACGTTCAAATCTCTAATTTCATTAGAGGCATTCATGAGGACTACAAACTAGTTCAAGTATAGTGTGTCTAAATTTTCAGTGTTAGCTTATAAAATTTCTCTTTGGTAAGCTCAAGTCACTCTTTCCATATTCATACCAACACTATGATTTTATAGTTACCTACTCCATAGTGACGAAACTTTTTTTTTTTCGATACTACCACTCTTGATATGTATAGTAGCTTATAGGATCTTACGGACTACCAAGCTTCTCCGTTCATAACATTACATTATTTTCTATGTTTTGAGACATCTGGTTTAAATATCTAACTCTCCTCAACAACATCATTTTTATGCATATATTAGTGTTTAGTCGTCTATTACTTTTCATTACATTGTAACTCCACGATAACAATATAAATCTTGTTAATCTTAACATGTTCTGAATCATCAATATATTATGTAGTACTCACGTTCCAAGCATAGCATAACATATAAACATCACTTATTATCTTTTATAAGGTATAATTGACGGTGAAGAAGTCGTTCATTGTAAGGTCATGGAAACATTTTGAGTCTACATCTTAAGCTAGTGTATAGAATCTATAAGCCTAGAGTTCTTATATTAACTCTAAAGATCTTATTTTTTCTAATAAAATAGAGACGTCACTCCATGCATATGCCTAATACGTGCCGAAAAGTATCTAAAATCTTTTCATAAAGGATGTCATGGACTTAAACGTTCATACTAAATTCATTTAAAACAATACTATTCTCAACAACCTAATGAAAAAATAAATAAGATAAATTTAAATAAAATAAATAAAATAGTACAATGATGAATATAACTATCCCAACTTCACTTCCATGACCTTTACAACAACACAGTCATTTGTACATGGGTGTCTTATCTTTACAAAAAAAAAAAAAATAATAATAATAATAATAATAATAATAAATAATAATAAAAAAATAATAATAATAATAATACATGGCTTGAATATTTAAAAATACTCCGTAAATAACCCCACTATTGGGGTTGAAAAGTACATTCACATGCAATCATGATGGAACTTATCCTTTCATAAAATATCATGGTCTTGATCTCTACTTTCTAGTTGGGGTAGAATTAGATGTAAAGTGCATATCTAGGTCTGACATACACTCTAATGGAAAGTAGAGAATTCTAATTTTACTTAAGAATCGGAGCTTAAAGTTGTTCCTTGAAATCCAAGTTTACCTAAGGAGTCACACCATCATAATTTAGAATTCTACTATGAAAATTAACTCATCTAATTGCATGCCATACTAACCTTAAATGCCTCCAAAAGTGTCAAATACGGCTCACAAAGAGTAAAAAAGTTACAGGAAAGAGTCTGAACACATCCAGCTCAAGCCAGATTAGGTGAGAAGTTGAGGTGGGGCCAATTGACTCCAAACCACCACTGAAGTGAGATGAAACAAAGCAATTGTTGTGACTCGGTAAGCCAAGAGACCTCCCTTTTATATTGGAGTCTAACTCCCACTTTCTCAATCTAACCGATGTTTGACAACTTTTTTTTCTTTCAATTTTTTATTTTTAGGTCATGTATGATAAGTATGATTGATATGTCATTACACCAGGTCTCATAAGAAGGTTGTTTCATGAAAAGTACACAAAGTATGATGTTGTAACAAACCAAATCCAGGATTTGGATCATGATTCAAAATTCGATCTCGGCACTTGATGGCTCCGACATTTTTCGCCATCCTTTACAACATGGTAATGTTACTTACTCGTTGCTTCTAAAAGTGAATATTATCCCAACAAACTAACACTAGTCCTTTTAGTATGTTTTATCTTTACTCACTGCATTCTAGGAAAATTTTCAGAAGGTTACTTAACATAGAATTGCTTAAAGCGAAACATACTGAATTTTGGAGTTCTTATAATTGAGCTACCGACAAGGAATGTGCATCTGTAACTTTTAGTTCTTACAAGTCTTTCTTAGTCAATCTATCTTTAGGATCGCTTTCATTTGGACGTAATTTTGGTTCATTCATGTACCTTCTTTTTACTCAAGTGTCACAGAAGTGTATCATAACCATGTAGCATGATTTAAAATGTGGGACCTCATGCATGTTGCATGTCATAAGCATGGGATACTTTCCGAGTATGTTTTATACTAAAGCATACACCATGATATGATACGTGTTCCTTTCTTTTTATTAGTTTTTAGTAGCATGAGCGTAGGCTAGCCCATAGTCAGGTTTATGAGGTATATATACGAGCTCATTTAGTAAATTCATGCACACGTACGTGAACCGTAAGTAAATGATCCAACCCTACTCGAAAAAAGAAAAAAGAAAGTAAATTTTAAGGAATAGTCATGAAAAAAAAGAAACCCATAGTTACATTTGAGTATGGATTTAATTTTCTTACACGAGCATGTTTGACATTGTATCTTACTTTAAAGTTAACTTTTCGGTACTAAAATTTAAATCTATTATGCATCCCAATTAAGAATTAAAATTATAGAATCCAAAATATTTGAAAAATTGACACCTTCAAAGTTGATACTTTTTTACAAAAGTACACAAATCTTCCAACACGACAGGGTAGGGTTGATCAAAGAATGAAAATCAAATCGAATTGAATGAAATTAGAAACACGAAATCATTTGAAGCATTTGTAAAAATGCCCATCTATCTCTCTCTCTCTTTTGAACTTCCTTTTATTCCAATCAATCTTAATAACAATAGAACTGCAAAGTGGGTTGATAATCAAATTTGCTTCTTCAAGGGTTGAAAGCACCGCAGTCAGTGCGAATGTTGCCGTCGGATCCGGTCTTGACACCTACGCGACCCAACTTGGTCATGGCAGTAACGAAGGCAGTGTAGAAGGTTTGTCCACTATGAGCCCAAACCTTGACAGTGGGTCTCGACCTTGTGTCACTGAAGAGCACTTGGTCAGAAGTGAAGAGGCCCATTCCTTGCTGCAGATTCTTGAAGTACATATTGTCGAACCTTGTGGGTGTGTTTGGGTCCATGTTTATGGCTATCCTTGGATCCACGTCTCTTGGGCACATCTCTTGAAGCCTGCTTGCATAGGTTGGGTTCAGCGTTGGATCCACTGGATTTGTACGGCTGAAATTGTATATTCTGTTTGCGAATTTGCTGCAGTGGGAGAATCCGACGGTGTGCGCAGCTGCACCATAGTAGCTTTCTATTATAAATCACGAATCTCCACAACAGTATGATATTATATACTTCGAACATAAATTCATGGCTTTGCTTTTGGTTTTTCCAAAAGGCCTCAGACTTCCTCCCAACAATCTTCCTCTCGAACAAAATACACCATAGAGCCTCCTTTAACGCTTATAAAGCCCTCTAACAGCATTCTATTAATTGAGGCTGGACTCCTCTCTCTAGAATCCTAGAACAAAGTACACTTTTTGTTCGACACTTGAGTTACTTTTGACTACACTTTCGAGGGTCAAAACTTCTTTATTGGACATTTGAGAATTCTTTTGACATAACTAAGTTAATGGCATGATTTTGATACCATGTTAGGAATCACGGACACTCCATAGTGATATGATATTGTTTACTTTGAGCATAAATTCTTGTAGTTTTACTTTTAGTTTTCTCAAGAGACCTCATACTAATGGAGATGTATTCGTTACTTATAAACTCATGATCATTCTCGTAATTAGCTACTTTCAACTCGACGGGCCGAACATTGTTTAGAATTGAAATGGAATAATAATGGTTAGGGAAGGAAATTGATACCGGAGAGAGCAATCATGTCAGTCTGGGAAAGGCCATTGGCAGCAAACATGGCATTGAGCTGATTGAGATTAAAGCTTGGCTTCGGCAATTTGCCTTCAACATCTGAAGCCCTTGAAACAAGCCCATCCTTTCTCCCTAGCTCCACTGCATATGATGGCCCTCGAGCCTGTAATCCAATAGTTAAACCCAATTCATCTCTATTTATCAATAATATGAGAATCGTTAAGAGTACAAACAAACCAATGAGATGACATCTCGAGTAGCCATCACGAGAATATCAGCACACGACACTTTATTTCTACATTCTGGCACAGCGTCAACGGCAGCTTTTGCTTTAATCACCGTATCAAATCCATCTCCTGCTAATGAAAGGTTATCAGGATGATCCTTCTCCACTGTGTTACCTCCGTCCGAACCAATCATCACCGACGCATCACATCCCTACATCAACCAAACCAAGTTTTTTAGTTCATAGAATTAATTACAAGTTGACTTAGACAATTGAGAATGAATTAAATTACCTGAACAAAACAGTCGTGAAAGAAGAGGCGGAGGGTGGCAGGAACAGTAACAAACGTCTGTCGGAACTTCTTTGTGACAGCATTTCGAACTATGCTCTCAACGTTAGGACAAACATCAGCGTAAAAATCTTGTCGAAGCTGTGCCATAGACGTTGGAACAATGGCGAACAACGATGTCAAAACAATAACCTCAATCATAACAAAGGTTCTCAAACTACTTCTTCCCATTTTTGATTTCTTTTGAAAATGGCTCTACGTCTCTCTGTGTTTATTCCAATTCCAAGAAGAAAACACACATATATATACACACAAAAATATTTAATAAATGATTGTGATAATCAGGTGGGTTTTTATTTTAAATATTGAATTTTATGGAAACTCAAACTCCAACCATTATAGTAATCTAATTAATTATAATAATTAATCTCCAAATTGAGTGAGAAAAACAAATTTACTGTTCTTATATTAAATAATTCAAAGGGTTTGACTTTCAATACGCCAAAGTCAACCAATGGCTTGATAATATCGTGCAAAATATTAATCCCTTTTAATTAGCAACTAGTTATATTTTAATATAATTAAACTAATTTAGATTTTCCACTCATACTTCTCTCTCCAAATTTATATATATATTTTTAAAAGTCATAATATTTCTTAAAGATTATTAGTTTAATGACAGTGATTTATGAATAATTAACTAAATTGAAATAATGTTTTTAAATCCGACGTGGCTAGCAATTAACATGATAATGATATTCACTCATCGTTCAGATGGTTTTGACCTAATCATTTTGACTTAATTTTATTCTCGACTTTACTCTATTTATAATAAACATATTATTTCTTGAATAATATTTAGGGTGTCGTTGGATTAAATTGCTTTTTCAGTGTATTTAATTTTAATATTTGTAGTGTTTGGCCACCACTCAAGATGACTTATTTAAAAATGAATTTGAGAAATAAGTTATTGAAACTCAAATATTTATTAAGAATGGTGATTTTGAGTTTTAAATTTGTATGATAAAGAAAATGACCAAAATACCCTCTTACTATTTTCGGGCAGTCACCCACCACGTGTCACAATTGCTGCAACCAAACCATTATCAACTGTCGTTATTCGCCGACGTTGACCACTAGATTTTGCCAATTTCCATGAATCGAGCATTGGCACCTCACCATCACCCATCGCCACCACCCACTGCCAGCGACCACTTTGTCAAGCACCGATGTTGATCAACAATTTTAGATACAAATTTAAAATTTTTAGTTCATTGTATTTATTGGGAGTTTCATCATGAAAGACCCAAAAACTCCATCAACTACATCTCGACTTTCTTGATTTGTTCAAGCGGCTTGAATTTGAATTAGGGATGGTAGCCTTTCTTGTGATTGCCACCATGTTAGATGCTAACGAAACCACTTACTCTAACACCTCCTCTCTTTGTGTGTGTCTCTCTCTCGAATCATGAGCGGGATCATACTCTATTAGAACCCTTCCTTTCTCATGGTGCAACAAAAATCTATGTTGCACAAACATGCATCAATTATGAACATAAATCTATGTTGCACAAACATGCATCAATTATGAACATAGACACTCAGTCACACTAACTAGTTGCTTTATACATTTATTTTCATATCTAGTCGTGGCAAAACATTTCCTTGAGTGAAGCTATAGAGAATTCCCATGACTCTATATAGAGAAAGTCTATATGGCCTATCAACCTAAAACTCTGGTACTAATCTATAATGACTTGCTTTTCAATAGACTCGATCTAAGGACCTCTATATATTGATATACAAGGCTAAAATGACTCGATAATGATAATCATTTTAATGTAAAGGAGGACGCAAAGGAATACAATATTAATAAGAAACACACCAGCTTCATAAAAACAATTTTGCGAGAGTTAGTTTACAATAAATATATATATATATATATCACAATAGTCAAATAAAAAACCAAAAAGACTATATACAACTTAAATCTAGTGGTCTTCGATAGCGGCACAACTTTATAAGACTCTCATTATCAACTGTTGCATCACACCATCAATCTAATCAATAAAAAATAGCATGAGTGAGTATAAAATACTCGGTAAGCAATCTACTTATAGGCTTTAATTAATTCATGCTATGATTAGTTACCATATGGCTAGATCGTCGACTGTTTGGGACTCTAAGTTCTATAGCTATATACGAGCTTTGGTAAGGTATTGCACCCTTTAGCTCTCAATAACATGAGAATTGACCTATTCTAGATCCATATTGAAATGTTGACCCCTACACCATAACATCGTGTATACACTTAGTCGTTCTTAGGGTGAATTGGTTAACTATAAGCTAAATGATTATTTGTCTAGGTTACATACACAATTGTCATATATTTGTCAGGTTCAACCTTTAACGGATTTAAATTACTTAAGAGGACATTATGAGATAAATAAATGATACTGATCTACTAAATTAGATTCGTTAGTGACTCTTTATAGGCCACATAATGTCATCATAATTTTGGAGGGGCGACCCTCGGGCCTACCCAAGTGTTATGGTTATACTTCTTCAACTGTGCCACATCATGACTTTGACATACTTCACGACAAGTCTTAAGGGGAACTCAAGCCCTATTTCCATTTTTCACTCTATTTTGTGACTTCGTCGGATCAGATCTTGGGCGAAATTCACCTTTGCCAATTGAACAAAATTTTCCTTTGCCAATCAACGGTAAAAAAATTTGGTTCAACCAAACCAATTGAGTTTGGTTCAATTGAATCGATCATGTTATCGTCACCTATATCTCGCTGAACAAAATTTGAGTGCCTCTCTTCTCCGGCAACTCGTTCAACCGCCGTTCTCATGATTTTGAGCTTGATTTCTTCACCAATATTGGAGATCTCTGCTCTATGATCATGTTGGTACAAATTTCATCACTTCTCATCGAATATTCAGTAAGATATGATGGAAGTTTTGGGGTTCAAAAAACACACCTAGATTCTAACAAGACCCCACTGGACGAACCTTCTATTGCATTCGATATCTTTTGCAAACTCATTCTATTCACTGAGATGAATCTAATGACACCAAAATCATTCCTATTATGCATTGTATAAGAGAACTTTGACCAATGAAAAATCAATAAAAACAAAATACACATTTTTGTAATAGCCTTTTTGTAATATGGCTATGGCTTCTAGTAAACATGCCATTTATGAACTCTGGCCATAGCCATAGCCATTTACAAAGCACTATTAATGAACTAGCCAAAGCACTATTGAGAGGAAGATGTTTGTCCTTAACCATTTGATTTTAGTCGTCTTGCGTAGAAAGAGCCAAGCAAAGGCCCCCTCTATGATCCAGAAAACTGGTACATTGATGTTCTATAAGTTAATAAGACAGGGCATAGTTCATAACTTTAAATCTAGTTCAAAAAGAAAAGGTTGATCAAGCTCTCTATGCACAAGAGAACAGAGTATATTTCGCATTTGAATCACAAAGATGTAAATGCCCACCTTCAAAACGTAAGAAGTTAAAACTACCAGAGTGAAATATGCATCCATCTCGAAAACAACTATTTTTGTCCCCACCTACATCAAAACTTGAATGGTACAATGATACATTGAAAAAATTGAATTTGTAAAATAGTGAGCATAGACAGTAAGAACGAACATCATTCTCAGACCTCTTTTCCAATACTATGTGCAAGAAAGAACATAGAGACTCAGTTAGCATGTCTGTATCATTGGCAGAGCAAACTGATCAAGCAAAGCAGATATCAACAAAATCACAAAAAGAAGGCATAGAAGGGAAGGTAGGTTGATTATGACAATATCAATCATGAACCACGGTCCAGTTCAAGTGTTAACAAGCAATAAATCCTGCAGTTAGCAAGCAAAGTGCTTTCTTATCCCATTTTCTTTATCTTTATTTCTTGAATGATAGAAATGATAAGAGAAAATCCCACATAAAAAGATCGGAGTATGGGGAACCTAGATGAAATGTACAGTCCTAATGCATTGCTGATAAGGTTCTGTCAGCTACCTTTTCCCTATAGCAGCTTCGCGTTGCTCCCGACAATGTTCTCTCTGCAGCAAGAATATGAGAACATCTGTTACATAACAGAGAAAGATCTTTTTGGGAAGTTTTGTTCTGGAAATAGTAAATGTCCATGTTATTAACAGGTTTGGGATGCCAAGCAAAAAAATCAGACTTGCTGTACAAGCAAGTGGGTGGACAAGTGCAATACAAAATACCTAGGCAACTTACTAACATAACTGGTAGGTATAGATATAAGATACAAAACAACATCTCATTGATAAGATAAATTAAAGAGAATATCCCTAGATCTCAAGGCTGAAGGAGTTAAGGGCAGAAAAAGTTCTCCACTCAGGAATGATGGAAGATACAGGACAGTTGGAACAAAAAAAAAAAAAAAAAAAAAAAAAAAAAAAAAAAAAAAAAAAAAAAAAAAAAAAAAAAAAAAAAA